TAAAAAAAAAAAGATTCCTACACAGACAACAATAAATCCAGAAGGTTGTTGTCTTATGAAATTTCAAAGAGTGTATCAGACTGGATTGGCTCTAGGAAGAGAAGGTAACAACAACTACTGATGTATTTTTTTTGTTTTATTTGGGGAGCAGAAATAAAGTATTAAAATTCTGCTGTAAACTAGTTGCAGTGACAATTGAGTTACACTTTGTGCATGTGTAAAGGAGGGGTAGGGCTGGGGCAGCCAGGGCAGGGAACAAGATGGAGCTGCGAGGGGTTCATTTGGCTGGTGTGACTCCTGCTGTTCCCCACACCCCAAGAGGGCATTGGGGGCGTGTGCCCCTGGATCTGCGGGTGGGGCGGGGCCAGGGCTGTGCTGGGCTCTTCTTGGCAGGGGCTGAGCTGTGCTGGGGCAGGTGGTGGTCCGGGGGGGTGGGTGCAGCCACCCCAAAATTGGCTGTAACCCCCCCCCAAATCACCCTCCCAGTGCTGCCCCCCACTGGGAAAAGTCCAGTGTGGTCCTCTAGCCTGCAGCGGCAGACTGCTCTTGCCCCACGCACAGCTCTGGAGTACGTTGCTCTCCCAGGGCGTGTGCAGTGACAGGAGCTGCCACCCCCTCCTTGTGCTGGGTGCCCCCTCTCGCAGCTCTGTCACGCTCCCCACCCTGGCTGTGCAGTGCCTGCCCCAGCCCCACTCCCTTTACCGTGGGGGAGGGGGCATGGCAGATTGAGGCCCCAGCAGCGAGGGAGTGTGGCACAGGCAGGAGCCACGGGCCAGGGTGAAATGGGGCCCCAACTAGGCTGGACGGTGGAACAGGAGGAGGCCTGGAGAGCATGTACCACCCTAATCCGTGTGTGGGGTGGAGACGGTTGCTGCTGTGATACACTTTGCTTCCTGCTGCAGCTGCCCCAGGAGCAGCGTGATGCAATGTGCCTGCAGCTGCTGGGCTGCCCTGTGCCCTCCGCTTACCTGGTGGTAGGATGCACATGGCATTGTGCAGCTCTCAGGGCAGGGGTGCTCAAAGCCCAGCGCTTAGCGGCAGCCACCTCTGTCCTGCATGCAGATCAGAGGGGCACATACCCCCTGGGCCTCTGCTTGTCCTACCACCCAGCCCAACCCGGGCCCCACTTGCCTCAGCCTATGCCTGTGCCCTGCTCCCTCCCTCAGTGCTGGTGCCTTGATCTGCACCCTCCCCACCCCTTCCCCCACAGACCTATCTGCTGGGTAGAGGGGAGAGGGATGTGGGTGCATGTACACATGTGCTCAGCCCCTCAGATAATTTTTTCTCCTTCTGCCAATGGTGCCATACATGTTGGGGGGTTCCCAACTATAGCTTAGTTCATGAAAAATACTCGGTTATTTTTTTAACTTGCTGAAGCAGTTTATCAGCATATGGTCACTCAGATGAAAATTCAAATTGCAGTCTTAATAAATAGTCTTTAGCTATTATTTAGGAAACATGGGTACCAGAAAACAGGAATCTAACCTACAGCATAGTTAGCTTGATTAGAACATTATCTCTGCTTGAATAGACTTAATAAATAAACTAAGCACGTTTACTTTTCTAGACACATGATAGTAAAGAGCATTTGGCAATGATGGAGAAAATACTGGGACCATTACCAGTTCACATGATACAAAAAACCAGGTAATTGTGCATTTCTAATATCTTCCCTACCTGTGAATAACACTTCTGAGTTTAAAATCTTCCATTCGTGCCTGAAATAAATGCTTAAAGTTGAGACTGTATCAATGTAGCATTCTGTGTCCAGTTTAGTAAGGGGCCAGGACAGTTACATTTTTTGCTTGGCTGGGGTTACGCAAATGTGCGTAGACTCTTAAGGGGCCAGTGGCTGAGTACCTTGTCAGCTATAGATGCTGGACAGAAGAATGTGTTAATGTTTTGTTCTAAGGAGTAACTTGTGCTTTTTAGCTGTGGCTTTGTGTAAAGGCAGGGAGGGACTTTAATGAGCAGCAGTTGAGCTTCACTGCTTCCAGAATGAAGAATGGTCTGTGTAAGATGTTTGCCTACAGAAATTCTGGGAGTGTTTTTGTGCTGCTGCCCTTCCTATATTCTGAAGCCTAGTTTTGGGAGAAAATTGGGGAGTAGTGGGAAAGTGCATTGGGGATGTTGATCTAGGTTCTGCTACATTCTTTCTTGTGCATCATTTAAGACACCGCTTTAGTATCAAGAGCACTGTATATGAGTGGGGATTTTTAAAGCTTTTTTGCCATATCAAACTTCAGATAAGAAAATCTTGGGCCAAAAATAGTTCTGGTCATGCATTGTGTTTATTTGTATGTGATGATTTACTTCAGTGAGTTGAGTAACAGATCCCTGGTGCCTGGTTTGTTTTGTTTAATATCACTTGGCCTTATCTTTCTGATTTGATTTCTTTTTTCTTCATTTGAATTATCAGCTAAGATAGCATTACCCCCAACTAGATAGGACTGAACAGCAAGAAATACTAGTGTGCTTATAATATAAAATAGTTAATATTAAGTCTTTGTTTGAAAATACCAGTTTTGTCTTATGTTCTTCTTTCTTATAAAATATTATCCTGTTACCAGTTCCTGCTTGATTTGCTACTTAAACTGTGCAATGATCATGCAATAGTTTCTCATTATGAATTTTTCTATGTCCAGGAAACGCAAGTATTTTCACCATGACCAACTAGACTGGGATGAACATAGTTCTGCTGGTAGATATGTGTCTAGGCGCTGTAAACCATTGAAGGTAAGGTGTCAACTTCTTGCTTTATCTTTTTCTTTTTTTGCTAGGAAGATGCTGTGTAAACTTCTCAACATTGTCTTTTTCTTTCTTTCAGGAGTTCATGCTCTGCCAGGATTCTGAGCATGAGAATCTGTTTGACCTGATTCAAAAAATGTTGGAGTATGACCCAGCCAAAAGAATTACTCTTGATGCTGCCTTGAAGCATCCTTTCTTTTCTTCTCTATAAAGCAGGATATTAAGTAAAATAATCTGCACCTGTATAGTTCTCCAGTGGAGATTATAGACTGTGTCAGTCAACAACAAACACCATTTTAAATATTTATTTTGTACAGTTAGCTTGGTAAATTTCCTATTTTGTATGATGAATGTAGTCCTTGTTTGAACATTTAAGTTTATTGATCCTAGTTGTTGAAATAAACTTTCTGAAAATTCTCTTGCTATATAAATTGTGCTATGTTAACTTACTTTAGATTGTGACTTACTGTCTCAAAACACATTTCTAGATTGTTCAAGGATTTGGCTTGCTTACCCTCTGACAATGGCTAGCTAGCATTTCCCTATTGCATCTTGCCCTACAATGATGCTGGAAACTCACTTGTCTGCATTAGAGCACAAATAGCTTAAGGCTGCTCATCTTAATTCTGTGTGGAAGCAAATCAGTTCTTTCAAGGTGTGTACTGTTTGTATTTTATTCCTTGCAAAGATTCTTGTATGTGACTGGTGCCAAAATAAGCATTGCTGTTTTAGTGTCTTCACTACATCTGACTCTTAGAAATGATATTTGCCTAAACTATCTAGAGTCAGTTTTGACATGTCTGCATGGAAACATGCACAGTTAGTTGATTTCAAGTCCTAGTTACTAATTTGATCTAACTAATAGATCATAGGCTGAGGTACAGAATTTTTTTTAAGCATTTTTATTTATACCCCTTTGGAATGATCACCTCCAAAGCTTGCTAAATATAGTGGGTGGCAGTTGAGTAAAGGTGCAGGGTTAACTTGTGGCACCAAGCAAGTTTTTAGCCCAGTGGTCTAATCTACTTTAAATGCATAACTGCCTGCTCTAACTTCTGGAGTGTCAGAAATAGGAAAGCAGGGGAATAATAGTATTAGTGCCATCTCACCACAGGCTAATCTGAGGAAGAATATCTGGACCTGAGTTTATCCATGCCACACGTTACTTAAGTGGTTTAAAGTAGTAGTGTTTTAAATAGAAACAGCTTTTTTTTTTTTAAACCCTTAGTGGATGAGTTGGACACTTGTGGAAAAAAATGCTCTTTAGCTTGTTATATTGCAGTCAAAAAACTTTTAGTCTTTCATAATTAACTTTACTTACCTATATTAAGATATTCCTGCAGTAGTCCTAGAAAACAGCAGTGTTTCACACTGGCTCTTTAATTTCCTTGGGGGGGAGGGGTTATGAACCAGTAGACTACCTTGCCAGTTTGACTCTTGATTCAAAGAGAGGCAATGTCCAGAACAAGAACCCAGCTGCAATAAAACTATGGACAGCACCTGTTGGAGGCCTTGGTCTGAGCTGGATCTACCTAGCCCACAGGCTTTGAGTTGCTGAGTCCAGGCCTAGAATGCAACTTCCTTTACTCATGGGGAAATAAGCAAAGTGTGTTCAGGAATGTTTGGGATATTAAAGTTGGTTCAAGTCCTTTATGGGAGTTCTTAGAATGAGTACCAGACTATTACACCAAGCACAGTTCTGGAGGGTAGGGGGAAAACACTAAAATAAAGTGAAAGAATGGCCTTTATTAAAAAGAAAAAGGAGGCTCTAGAAGTTACAAAACAAAAAGCAGACCACTTCATATAAACTGACAGACATCCATACACTGAAGTTTTACCAAGATTACTCATTTAACCAATATTTTACTGACAAGGTTTTTCAATTACTTTTTTAGCCTTAGACTGAAACACCATAGCTTCAACACTTGGTTTATCCAAAACCTGCATTAACTGACTGCATTTTGTGTTCTGTAATTCTACCTTTATGGGACAAATATTTAACAAGTAGAGATTGAAGTGGTCAGAGGGAAAGATTTTTGGCTGAGGCAAGGCAGAAGTCTTTTAGAAGCAATTAATAGAATATTCCAGAGCAGTATGCAGTACAGAAAGTAGTGTTTGATCATTGTTTTTGTCCAATGACTGGTCTAGCATTTTACTTTTTTGGACTGCAACTTGGACAGCTACAGCAATTGCTATAACCATCTATAAAATCAGCACGAATACATGACATGAGAACATATTAGCAAATATTTCACCTTGCAGCCCTTTTGCCTATTCTATTGGGAGCTCATAGAAACACAAAGCAGATGCAATAAAAGCCAGCAGGCTGAGAGAACATTACTATCCCACTTTCAAAGTACCCACTTGTTTTGCCTGGCTAGGAAGTGCTTAAAAAGGCAAAATCCACCAGACAGCATGAAGCAGGCTGTACAAATTCTCTCCTTATTCACTAAAATGAAGTGTTCTAGAAGACACTGCTACTGAATAGTGTTTAAAACCACCTTGTCAGCTGTCTGCTACCATCCACCTCCAAAAAGTGGAGAACACCTAGACACTGCATAAAACATGCCTGAAATTTTGTACCATCAAGCTGCTTGAAGAGTTACAGAGCTTTCTATACTGCTTAGTACAGACCTCTCAAGTTCCACACACCAATCACCACACAAAGTCTGTTCTTTTGACTTTGTATATATATTTTACACTTTAATTTGCAAACAGTATTTCCATAACAAATCTCATTACCAAATCATGTCTGCTTGTAAATGTTTATATAGAAAACCCAGGGATAAAATGAATTTCCTTATGGAAAGCCTTAAATTACATTATTACAGTAGAAAATACAGGAGGTAGAATAACTGAAGAGACTAATGCAATGTTAGAGTCAAATCTATAGCTCCTGTAAGCTACTTAAAACATGGTTAAAAAAACAAAAACAAAAACAAAAAAAAACAACTAATCCCAAAGTATTCAATAACTTCTTAGGGAAAAAAAACAGGTAAAATAAATTTGTTATGAAAGCCCTTATATCATGCTTGATACAGGGAGGTAGGATGTAGGAACCAGAAGAACACACGGAGACATGACATTTATCTACAGCTCCTGTTTGCTTTACTGAGGACAAGTTTCACCAGTCAGTCACCCTCTTCACTGTCAGATCCCGACTCTGAAAAGTGAAGAATCTGATTAGTAATTGATAGGGACTGCAATCCAGTAAAGACACATTTTAGAGACCTATTGACAATGCTGCCAATTTAGATACATGCTTTTACAAGTCACCAGGTTATGCATACTCAGTTTACTCTGAAATCCTTATGGCATACTACAGCAAGAGCACTACAATTTTAGTCTTGAGACAGGTAATCATTCTGTAGTTGTGTATGAACCCTTACAACTGTATGGGCTTGAATGCA